AAATGCGGGTAATGTAGGTGAGACAGGGCACAGTAAAGAATTTGGAAAGGACTGGACAGGCCAGAACTGTGGACAAATCTGGGATACTTTGATCCAGGTGATCAGTGGAACAGCCTCAAGGGCCATCATACAAAACAGCACAGGGCACGGATGCACATCGAGAGTCTTTGCCAGCAATCTCCTTCTGGAAAGGCTAAAACCACAAAATACTTCCCTGCAACTGTGATCTTGCAACAAGGATTTGCTCTACACCACTTCCCTTTTGCAATGTGCTTTTTTTTTTTTTTTTTGTCTTCACAAAAGGATTCCTTGGCAAGAGGCAGCTGCCAGCTGGCCATATCTGGCCAAGGGGCTAACGAAAGTGTTCAGCTCTACACAGTAGAATTGTCTATTCAAAGAAAAGTCACAGTTCTGACTTCAGTTTTTCATCAGGGATTATTATTCTAGGATCATTGCCAATATAATTTTTCTAGCTAAAAAGGAAATAAAAATCCTATCATGCTCAAGTCATACACTTGAAAAGCATCACTTGTCCTGGCTGGTACTGCTGTTTGCTCCCCTCCCTTCATTCTTTTTGGTCCATGCAGTCACTGTCTTCTCAGCATTGCTTTCCTGCTTTTGTCCCAGAAGTGAAGAGAAATGGTGATTTAGCCATTTCATTGAGTGTTTTGATTTATTTTTTTTTTTAAAGGAAAAGACATTTTAACTCCCAATATCTTTAACACCATCCTTTCTACCCCTCCTCTTTCCTTTTTTAAACGACCTCTAAACCTTAGGTACGGATCTGGCTGACAGGATTCCTTTAATTATCCTCCCTCTGAATACTCATCTCTTCCACATTGCTTTCAAGGAACACCAACACAAGCAGCATGTCCAAATTGAAGCCAGCAATGAAAACAAAATGTCAAAAAATCCACCATTAAAGAAATTAATAACAAATACACCAGGCGCATCTCATACGCCCCATTAGTCGGTAGTGTTCAGATACCATGGTGATGAGCATCCTATAAATATTTCCACAGCAGCAAAACTGCCTTAAAGGAACCACACAACAGCTGATGTGCACCTAAACAGAGCACTGCACGGAAGTGCTTCTCACCCTGCCCAGGTCCTCTGGCTGACACCTGAGCCCCAATCACTGGGAGGAAGTCAGCACCATCTGTTTTTCTTTTCCCTACCACAAGCAATGAGAGCAGTGCTGACCTGGCATTATTCCCATGGTTTTGCAATTTGACCCAAACACGTTGCTGGGCACAATGGTAGTCTGCACTTGGCTATTCAGGAGTCTCTGAAAGCCACGGAGCCAGGTGAACGCTGTATCCTTTGGCAGCACATTCTGAGCACCACACACCCTTTACACACCACAGCCATTGCAGAGCAGCTTGGAGATGTGGCTCACAGGGAGCCCAATGTATGCTTGTTTATCCTCCCAGAAGATTAATGTTTGTGGAGCAGAACAGCACCTGATCTGGTTGTTACGTACTTGGGTGCTCACAGGAAGGGGAAAAACAACACATTCAGATGTTTAGGCTGTGGCAGCCAACTTCTGCCCACGCAGGAGAGTTTTGTTTGTCCTGCCCTTGATGTAACCACCATCAGAAGTTTGCTTTCACAAACCCTTCTTGTCTTGAAAGCTACAACTCACACATCAGAAACTCATCTGAGAAGAAATGCCTAACCCTGTTATTAACCTGTGGGCAGCATCACCTGGAGGGTGATTCTTCACACACCTGCTGCTATTCAGAAATAGATTGAAAACTTCATATTACAAAATAATTTTCAAAGAGCAGTGGCTCCAATGAAAAATGGAGCATAAAAATACAGAGAAGTGATCCTGTGGAAAAAAAAAAAAAGCTGAACTACCCTTAATGCTGAGAGCCCAGCTCAAAGTTGCTCTTGGTGCTGGTACAAAGGAGCCAGAAATTACTTAGAGCTGCTTCCTTACAGATTTTCCAAGTAGAAAGGAAAATAATAACAATAAGCTATTTCTTGTATTTTCCTTACTGCATCCCTTGTACCAGGAATTGGAAAGGAGTGTGATTTCTACTCGACTGGCTTTGTATCCCTCCTCAGGCAGCTGTAGCTAGTTACTAAAGAAAACAAACAAGGGCAGAGGGGAGGGTATGTATGCCTTGGTAGCTATGCTGGTTTTTGGTACAGGGATAGAGTTAGTTGCATGGGAGCATTTGAGGATCAGCCTTTTCTGATGAAAGCATGGTGCTAGCTGATTATAGGAGGGGTGGAGATGAAAAAAGCTATGGTCCTGACCGAGGAACTGCTGCCCTGTTGCTACAGGCAAGTCTTCTCCAACCCCTCCTATCTACCCTACAACACCTTGTATCTTTTCTAGTCTGAATTTGCAGGAATAGTCCTGGTGTGTCCCGAGTCTATTTTGTTTTCTTTAATTATGCTTTCTGTTACAGTCAGAAAGACTAGTGCAGTGAAAAGGCAATACAGGAGTGGAACGGCAAAAGGACAAACAGGAAAAGAATGCTCGCCTGTCTCCAAGGGTCTGAGCTCACAGGGAAAAACTCCACAAGGGAGAGATCTCCCACCAGACATCCTTCCCCAGTGACAGTCAGCCCTTAAAGGGAGTCTAAGAGAGGTGCCTTCATCTGTGCTCCCAGGGCTGAGCTGGTCCTTTCCCCATGTGATCAATCAGTGGTTCAGGCCATGGCTCAACAGTTCCTATACACTTTCTAAATGTTATCTCGAGGTGCTAGGTGAATGGTGACTAAGTGCACAAGCAGTATAGAAGCACAGTGCTACACCTCACGTGTTGGGAAATGATGGCAGATAACTTTTCTATTTACATAGAGGCTAATCAGCTCTCAGTGGAATTTCTGTTTTGTTTTTTTTGCCCTATCTCAAGGGAAGCACAACACCAACTGACAAAATGTGTATTTTTGCTTTCAGAAACTATTATGCTTCACAACTGTCACCCAGACCTTGAGCTTTTTGGTTGCTAGGGAAACCTTGCAGGAGATAACCTGAGCACAGCTGCAATCTGGGTCCCCTTCTCTTCTGAAACCCAGCTGGCACCTCCACAAACGCCAATGCTTGGTTGTAAGTATCTCATCTCAGGAAAGGGGGGCCTTGGATGATAAGGCTATTTGCAGACCAAAAGATGTTTCCTTCTGAAGCAAGACTATTTGGGAGGTATTTCTCTTTGAAGCAGAAGAAAAGAGCATGTCCACTGTTACCCTGGACCTCCCCAACATCTCTTTTGTTGTGTGCAGCTCATTGGTCAGCTATGCCATCAGCAGTGAGGGATGAGCATTTGCCTGGTGTGTGGACACTAACTACCAGCACGGCACAGGGGAGGAGGGAAGAGGATGATGTCTGGAGCCCCATGGAGATGACAAGCAAGCAGCTGGAGATCTGCCTGGTCTTGGCTGTGTCCAGCAATCGCCAGTATGCTATCTTGCTGGTCAAGGACAAAGAGCAGAGTTGATGCTGCTGCTGTAGGGTATATCAGTATCACGAGGCCTGAGCACACACTCTCCTTATGCTCAGCCCCAGGTCAGGTGGCCAGTTCTTGGCTCTGCACTTTCCACAGTGGGGAAGGCAAAGGACTCCTGGAGCCCTAAGCTGCCCAGTCTGCAGGGCTGGACTGGAGCTCTGCAGGAGATGTTCATGTTTTATCTGCCTCCTCCTGCTGTACCATGCACTCTGTCAGCTACTCCGGTTCAGCTTTGGCCCTAAATTGATCTTAGTATCGTATGGGTTTTCCACCTCTTCCTTTTTGTTTTTCAGTATTACCTGGCCCAGTAAATACTTCACTACACAGAAGGGTTTGGGTATTAGGCTTTCTGAAGTCTTGCGTTGAGTTGAGTGATACAGTTGATATAGCAGAAGGAAAGAATGCCATCCAGATGGACCTGGACGGGCTTAAAAAGTGAGCCCAAAAGTTAAACAAAGCCAAATACAAGGTGTTGCTCTTGGGTCAGGACAATCCCAGGTTTGTGTACAGACTAGGAGAAGAACTGATTGAGAGCAGCCCTGCTGAGAAGGACTTTGGAAGTCCTGATGGATGAGAAGCTGGACGTGAGCCAGCAGTTTGTGCTTGCAGCCCAGAAGTTCAATTGTACCCTGGGCTGTGCCGAAAGAGGGGTGACCAGCAGGGATGGGGAGGGGATTGTCCCCCTCTGCTCTGTCCTTGTGAGGCCTCATCTGGTGTACCACGTCCAGGCCTGGGGTACTCCATACAGTAAGGGTGTAAGCTATTGGAGTGGGTCCAGAGGAGACTTCAAAGATTATGAGGTTTGGAGTACCCTCCCTATAAAGACAAGCTGAGGGAGCTGGACTTCTTCAGTCTAGAGAAGAGAAGGCTCCAGGAAGAAACTCATTGTGACCTTCCAGTATTTAAAGGGAAATTACAAACAGGAGGGTAGTTACCCAAGAGGATAGTAAGGTGTTGGCACAGGCTGCTCAGAGATGTGTGGATGCCCCATCCCTGGAGATGTTCAAGGCCAGGCTAGTTGGGGCCCTGGGCAGGCTGATCTAATGCTTGATTTAGCAGTCAGCAAACCTGCCCACAGCAGTGGGTTGGAACTAGATGATCTTTAAGATTCCTTCCAACCCAAGCCATTTTATTAAGAGTACCAAAAAACCCCTGCTTGTTTCTCCAGCCCCTGAACATGACCAGTAGTGATTCCAGTGAGGGTCAGAGCACACAGAGCTGGGAAGGTCATGGGACACAGGTCATGGGCTGTTGGCTTGTGTGCAGCGGTGGTTGTCTGGATGGGGAAGAAGGGGTGTGTTGCACATGGCCCCCAGGAAGCCAGATGCGTGTGTGTTTTCCCATCTCTGGTGTGGCAGGATGGTGCTTTAAGGATGTGAGCTGCTGTTCTTTCCCCTGATGCTAAAACAACAAGCTGACAAGCTGCTGTCAGGGAAATGCTGCCTAACTCCCTTTCCCCGATAATTTCCCTGGTAAAACTGCAGTGCAGTGGAATCAAATAGAGACAGAAACCAAGGGGGAATAGATATGTTTTTGCTTTTTTTTTTTTTTTCCCTTTCTTCCAAATATGCCTCCGTATTGGGAGCCATGTGCATACCAGTAAATCTCACCAGTTCAAAGAAATGTTTTTAGCATTCTCATTCAACCTTTACTCCTTTCCTCTCTGCTTAAGAAACAACAAAGCCTTGAAGATGCTCCCAGCTTGCATAGTATTAAAAAGACATCTTGGCTGAAGTGGAAAACAGCGTCTCATGTTTTCCTTTGGGTTACATGTGAAGAAAACCACTTTGCTGCTCTTTTATGTGGGGCTGTAAGAAGTCCTTTCTGCTGAGGAGAGGTGAGCTGTAGGTGGAGGACAGGAAGGAGGAGGGAGAAGAGGGCCAGTATTATTATACCCCCTCTGCTTTTCCTCTAGCATTCATGTTTGCCATCCTAACTCCTGCCAGACTTCAACAAGCATCCCAATAAGAGTTTTTAGAGGGGGATTTCCCCTCAGTCTTTAATCTGACTCTGCACAGGAACAAATCTATTTTATAGTTATTGTCTTTAATATTAATTTCTCCCTTTCCTGAACCTTGGTAATGCCTGTGCCCTTGCATTGTTCGTAATCCCAGAGCACTCAATCACGTGTTTGGAAGTAAATCCTATCCTACCTTCTTCTGGCCTCGTGCATCCTGTAGCAGATGGGGAACTGCTCTGCTGTCCCCAAGCACTGTCTGCTGACCCGTCGGCCTAGTGTTGGCAGTGGTATGGTGGTTGCACTCCACAAATCCAGCGTGAAAAAAGGGCTAAGCTAAACCACTTCTCAGGGAGAGCCTGAGAGGAGTCTGAAGGCAGTTCCTTACTGGTCTGCAAAGCAGGTTTTATCCAGAGACCCCCAGTTTGGACAGTCTAGGACAATCTGAAATTTTGCCAGATTAAAAAGAGGTCATCCTTTCTCCAATGGGATTGGACAATTCTGTGTGTGGAAAAACAAAGTCAGGCAAGTGTGCCGATGGCGGCTGTTGGGCTGCCTGGAGCAGTCTATGGCTCTGGTTTAGCAGACCTGGCCAGTGCTGTTGAAGAGGGTCCCCCCATTCACAGAGGGGACACTGTGGTTCTCCCAAAGGTGCATACAGGTGTAGAAAGTGATCACTCCTAGCAGGGCAGGGGAGGAACTATTAACATCTCCCAGTTCTGTAGTCATGACAGGCTGGCTAGCCCTTGGTTAAAATGCAAAGCAGAGCATCTTGCTATTAGGATGGACACAAATTGCTTTAAGGCAAATCTTCAGGATTTTGTTTTACTTTCCAAAATGTAACAGCTGCTCAGGCTAAGTTTACTCAAGAGCTGGAAATCCTGCAAGGGTTTTGCCCACGAGTTCTGGTGTGGGTCATTATGATTAATCTAAGCACTTCCCTTGCCTACTCCTTCAAAGGGCTAAGATCCATTTCATTCAGAGATGAATTTTGCCCCTGAATTTCTCTGTCTACAGGTCTGTGTGGCTTTATTTTCTTTTGAGGTTTTTTTTGGACCCCAAGAAAAGATTTGATGTCCTATGGTAGAAGGGCACCTGGCTTTCTGCACACAGGAAGCAAAGGCAAGGTGACTTAAAATACATGAAATGCTTCATTTTGTTTTTTGAAATAGGCACAGAAAATATGCTATCTTTCAGTCCTCAGGAATTGCCTCGCACAGTGGAAGAATTGATTGCATAAATGCCAGCTGTAACTCTCTTATTTTTGGTAACAAGGCATTACTAAAGGCAGATTAATTCAGAGCCACGCTCCAATGAAACCAGTGTCCTTTTGCCAGGGACTGGCTGAGGAATCTTCTTCCACCTAGGTTTTGTGTTCAGCATATATCGGGAGCACAGCAATAGTTCAGAATGCAGCACAAAGTCACAAAAGGTGTGCACATGTAGGTTAATTGTCAAGGGACACAGCCTTCAAGCACAGTCAGACTGTTTTCAGATGTAATCGTGACACCTAAGAGGATGATCTTTGAGAGATCAGAGAGAGGAAATTATTCTCTTGCTTTGCACATCTGAGTGCAGTTTGGCTACAGTCAAATTAGCTGTTTCAGCCCGCACTGTCAGTTTGCTCTCATCTCTCTTTCCTCTTGTTGTATTATTAATAATAATAATAAAAAGCTGAAGACATTGGTAAAGACAGATCTGCATGGGGCAGGGCTGGAGCCAACGTCTGCCTACAAGTCATTGATGATGGTGCACAGGTGTCCCTCACAGGGGCATGGCCAGCTCTGGGGACAGCATGGGGCTCTGCCACACTGCCTGCAGCCATGTGAAAAGCAGGGCTGCTGGATCCCAGCTTGTTCTTCCACTTTGTGCTCCCTGCCTGCCTCCCTCTTTGCCCTTACACAGCTGCACTTAGTAATGAGGCTGGCAGCATCAGAAAGTCACCAGAAGTAGCTCAGCTGCCTCCGTCGGTTCACAGGGAGAATGACTTTGTAGCTGCTCTCAGTCAGTCCATTAATTGCACATAATAAGGCATTTAGTGACAGAAGGATGGTTGATGAGCCTTAGCTGAAATAACAAGGGCCTGCCAAGAACTGCACTGCCTTTGTCAGGGAGGAAAGATGAAGGTCCTAGCACTGGTGCTCAGAGCTGTGTGCAGTGGGAACCTGCTGGTCCCTGACTCACATGGCACTTGGGTGGCCCAGCAGAGAGCAAGAAACATCCCTTCAACCCCTTGAAGCTTACAGTTAGGGCATCTATAGGCTGCAAAGCCTAGGCTGCTGTCTGTGCAGCCAACTGAATGGCTGGCACATCCCTTACCTGCCAAGAGGTCTGTGCGAGTTGGCAGGCAGTGCTTCTTTGTCTGCATGAGCACCTGGGAATGCTAACATTTCTCCAGGCTAGCTTACTGTTAACCTCAGCAGTGGTTATTTTTTAATGTTTCGGTCCTGAGCAGTGCTACTTCTTCTGGAGGGCCTGGATATCTCACAGAGGGATATAAATATTACCCCTGCATGGAAGAAGGGAGGCACGGCACAAGTAGCTGGCACATAGGCACAGGGAAGCTGCTGCTGGAGCCCAGGTCCTCCAGCCTCAGACCTGCTCCATTATGCAAGGCAGCAGTTCTCAACTTACAGCTCCTGCCTGTTCTTGTCTTGTGCCCACTCCTGTATCCCCTGGAGGGTGCTGGTTCAGGGAGGACACGGTAGCGAAGGAAATGGGAAGAGGCTATGGATATGCAGTAGGGGTGATGTCCTGAGCAGCATCCTTCCTGCTGCTTGTGATTTTACTCTGCTTGCCTGGGCCCAGTAACAGGAGCTGGGAAGCTCTCACTCTCTTTCTCCCTAGAGGCTCCAGCCTCTTTCTACTCTCATATTCTGAACAGTCTTGCTGTTTTAGGATTTTTGAGGTTTTGCTGTAAACTTTTCAAAACATGGAGTCCTGAGGTGAGCACCACTTATAAGAGGAAGAAACTCTGTAGTTGAACCCTGTGAGCATTTCTTTCCTGCAGGGAAACAAGTCTACAAACCACCAGCAGCTGAAGTCCTGAGCAGACCCTAGTGAATCTCTGCTGGGTTGCACTGAAAAGTGCAACTTCAACTGGCAAATAATTTTGGTTTTTCCCAAAACAAAAGGAGGTGAGAGGGAATGTTGAATGTTGGTGGCTGGATTTTTGGGAGGAATTGAAAGAGGAGCCAGCAAAATGGCTCATCAGAGTGATAAAGTCAGATGAAGTTGCCTTTGCTGCAGAGTGCAACAGGACTGAACTGGCTCCAGGCAGGTGTGTGACCCTGAGCCAGAGGATGGATGCTGGAGGCACTGTCAGTGACTAGGGTAAAAATTTCGGTCTGTTTGACACAGAGATGTGGACCAGGTTTTCCTGTCTGTTTGCTCACCTAGCTGTGGGCAACTCTGGGTAGAGACATTTGTTGTGGAGGCTTTGGTTTGGGCAGCAGCAATCCTACTGGGAGCCTGGGCAAGTACTCGTAAAAGAGAGACGATACATAATCATGAATCACAGCCATCAGAGTACAAAAAGAAGAAAAACAGCATTCTGCCTTTAAAACAACTCCTAAAGGAGTCTGCCTTTGCTCCCCACCGGTGACCCAGGCTGCTGAGCAAATAGCTGCCCACAGGTATGTACTGCACCCTCCTGGCTTTCCCCCACCACTGCCCCTCCTACGTGCCATGCACAGGAGATGCTGGATATGAACACTGCTCCCTGGAGCTCCACCCGGTATCTTTGCCCATGGTATGCTAGGGCAGAGTGCTCTCACCTGCTGCTCTGCACTGCTGTGAAACTGGAGTTTAAAGGAAAGGCTATCTAGAACAGCTCCTAATACCTGTGTCTGGAGCACAGAGCTTCCATCTGTAAGGCTGCTCCCTGCCTGACAGGTCCGTTACAGAGAGAACAGTGATGACCCAACAAGTGGCTCTTACATCACAGTGAATGCTGGACCTCTGTTGCTTGCTGCCCTGGACCCAGCCAGGCTGCTGGAAATGTCTACAGAAAGAGAAGGCAGCAGCAAAGAGATGACAGCTATGGTTTCAGCCAGGGGTCATGAAGATGTGCATAAGCTTCTGGCTTCTGGTGGCTGTCTGGTCCTAATGGCACCAAGCCTCTCTTCTGGGCAGGCCTTGAAGTGCCCCTGTTAAGGTGGGAGCCAGACACTGATAACCAGAGCCTTCTTTGGTTTACTTGTAGCATTGCCAGATTCAGCAAGAATCTGCAGCTGAGAATTTTCATGCCAAATGTCTGCCCAAGGCTAGGAGGTTTTTTTGTTCCTTTAAACAGAAGCTTCAGCTAAAATGGTTCATTTGTTCATAAAATCATAGAGTCATGGAATCACAGAATGGCCTGGGTTGAAAAGGACCACAGTGATCATCTAGTTTCAACCCCCCCCTACTATGTGCAGGGTCGCCAACCACTAGACCAGGCGGCGCAGAGCCATAGAATCACAGAATGGCCAGGATTGGAAGGGACCTCAAGGATCATGAATCTCCAACCCCCCTGCCACAGGCAGGGCCAACAACCTCCCTATTTAATACTAGACCAGGTTGCCCAGGGCCCCATCCAATCTGGCCTTGAACACCTATAGGGATGGGGCATCCACAACCTCTCTGGGCAGCCTGGCCAGTACCTCACCACTCTCTCTGTAAAGAACTTCCCCCTGACATCCAACCTAAATCTTCCCTCCCTCAACTTAAAACTATTTCCCCTTATCCTGCCATTATTTACCCCTTCAAAGAGTTGATTTCCCTCCTGTTTGTAGGAGCCACATCCAGCCTGGCCTTGAATGCCTCCAGGGATGGGGCATCCACAACCTCCTTGGGCAACCTGTTCCAGTGTGTCAGCGCCCTCTGTGTGAAAAACTTCCTTCTAATATCTAACCTAAACCTCCCCTCTCTCAGTTTAAAACCATTCCCCCTTGTCCTATCACTATCCACCCTCGTAAACAGCCATTCCCCCTCCTGTTTATAAGCTCCATTCAAATATTAGAAGGCCACAATAAGGTCTTCCTGGAGCCTTCTCTTTTCCAAGCTAAACAAGCTCAGTTCCCTCAATCTTTCCTCACAGGAGAGGTGCTCCAGCCCACTGATCATCTTAGTGCCCTCCTCTGGACCCGCTCTAAGAGCTCTACATCTTTCCTGTACCGGGGGCCACAGTACTCTAGATGGAGCCTCACAAGAGCTGAGTAGAGGGGCACAATCACCTCCCTCTCCCTGCTGGCCACTGCTCTTTTAATGCAGCCCAGAACACAGTTGGCCTTCCAGCCTGCAAGCGCACACTGCTGGCTCATGTCCAGCTTCTTGTTTACTGGGACACCCAAGTCCTTCTCCACAGGGCTGCTCTGAAGGGGTTCTTTGCCCAGTCTGTATAAACATCTGGATTGCCCCGGCCCAAGTACAACACCTTGCACTTGCCCTTGTTGAACCTCATTATGCTCTCATGGGCCCACTTCTCCAGCCTGTCCAGGTCTCTCTAGATGGCTTCCCTTCCCTCCAATGTATCAACTGCAATGCTGATTTGTTCTTCGGAGCAAGACTAAGGGAAAACATGTTAATAGAAACTATTGCTATGTTTGAGAACCACAGGCATCTCCATCCCCAGAGGGGACCCGCTGCCCGCCCTGCATCTATCTCCAACACGGAACGATGTGGCGATGCCCAGCCAGCCACCTCTGCTGCTCTTCTTTTGTTTTGGATGCTGCAGTCTCCTTAGGAGGATGATGGAGTTGTTTGAGCGTATCAAGTTCTAAATAACAAACCTCACTATCTGTTTCAGTCTCAGCTCCATTTCCTCTCTGCTTTATTTTACAGGGCTGCAATGAAAATCAGATCACTAGTATCTGATGTAAACCCCCATGCTGTAAGCATGAACTTGAGAGAACAGTCCCTTAAGAGATTATTGACCCTTTCTTCAGGGAGACTGCTGGCCAGAGTGCAAAAGACAAGAAATACTTGGTTTCTGGATAGTAAGGTTAAAATGATGCTATATGTGGGCTTATCAGTGAGACCCATCCAGTCCTGGCACTATACTGTGTGGGAAACCAGCAGGGAAAAGGTCTGCTTAGCAAACTCGAGTCTTTCTTTCCTCTCCAATATCAGTACTCCTCTACTTAGTACTAAGAATTCTAACTATTTGTTCCTGGCTGTCAGACCCTCACTTCTGGGCTGTCGTCTGTTGTTTGTTTTTTGTTGCCAGGCTCCTAAAAGTGACCTATTCTCTCTTGTGTGTTTTGGTATTCTACTGTATAGGCAATGCTCTCCCCACTGTCTCCAAAAAAATTGCATCTGCACACCCCTGTATGTCTGTGCTAGGGCTGTTTACCAAATCCTTTCTATCCAGCTTCCCCCATGTGCACTAATTCTCAGCTTTGTTGGCCTAACTGTTAATTTTCCACAAGAAAACGCCTTCTGTGAAGTCCAGATTGATGAGATGTACTGTCTTGCCTCTGTCTAAAAAAGCACTTCACCAGGTAATTACATGGGCACACAGCATGACTCCCTGCTGGAAAGCACAACTCGTGTCTGAATTTTACTTATCTTTCTCTTCTTTACAGGCTTTGCCTTAACATGAGGTATGCAATGTTTTAGTGCTTCCATGCTGCCTGGGTGCTTATTACAGACTTTTCTAGCCATCTAGTACTACACCTCCTCCTCCTCTCCTTCTTGCCTGGTCCCTGAGGATGCCCTGCTGCCAGCCCCTGTCTCCTTCTGACAGCTCTCCGGGTACTGGGTGTGCAGCTTGCCTTCAAGGCCCTTCAGCTTCAAGGCTGAGCTCAGTAGCCTTTCAGTCTCATCTGGGAGCTGAAAAGTCCCTTACAAATCCTTGTTCCTATCACCCTTTCTTCTCGTGTGCATCATCCTCACTGTGAACTCAAGACAGCATTTCCTTCCTTAAAGTAGAGAAGTCATCTCTGAGTCCTTCTTGATAAACAAAAACACTGAGTGCTTTGTGGTCTGCCAGAGCAGTGTGGGGTTTTTCCCTCTTGAGCTCTGAGATCATCTGGCTCCCCTTTACACCCTGATCTTTCAGCAGGCTTTGCAGGGTGTTGCCACAGCTGTAGAGGCAGTGAGCTGGGAGGGATTTGTCTTGCTCACTTCCATCAAAGGTGTATATGACACTCTTACTCATTATTCCCAGAGCGTATGTCCCAGAATTGCATTATTGCTCCCTCGCCGCAGCTTTCTGCTGTTAGCTCATATTGAATAGCCAGTTTGTCACAATCTCCAAAATTCCTCCCAGAGGCTCTGCTTTCCAGACATGGCGCCCTAGGAGGTCTGCCTGGCATTCCTTATTCCAGGAATAACTTTCTGCAGTAAAATGATGTTTGTTTAAACAGGCTTTCTCACTAAGCAGTAGAATGCTTTGCGTGGTTGTCCTATGCTCCTTGTTATTCATCACTTTGAATCTTTTTGTCATTTATGCACTGCACCAGGCCTGAGATTTGCATTTGCTTCTCTGTGATGAAAACACTGGGAAGTTGCAGGCCTCAAGCAGCTCCCTGAAGAGCCCTGCTAGAAATACTGCCATTTGAAGATGATTCACCACTGGCAATTACTTGTTGAGAACTGTCAGCCAGTGCTTAACCTGGTTAACGTGCAGTTTATTGATATTATGTAGTGCTAATTTTTTAATCAGTGTTGTACGGTCTGATGTCAAGTGCCTTACAGCAGTCCTCCCTGAAGCTGGCTTAGAGTCAACCTTAGAGTCAGGAGGTAGGTGTGACACCTGCCATGGAGATGTCTCATCCTACTGCAGAGAGCCAACAAAACTAACAGAGCCAGTTGTTAAATATACTCCTGTCCTATGATGTGCTACCATTTGAGACCCACCATGGAACTCTCAGGAACTTCATTTCTGTCTTGCTGAGCCCACTGCAGCCTCATTTGGTGTGTGTAGAAGATGGCAGGCGATGTTCTGGGGGCTGTCCCTTCCTCTCTGCAGCACCGTTGGCCTCGCCACAACGATTCACTCGCTGTAAGTCAGCTGGTAATCACACCCAATGATAAATAGTGAGAGACAGGAGTTCGGCACAAATAAATGAGCCTCAACTAACCTCATTTACTTCTTTTGACAGAATAACAAGCTTAGAGGATAAATTCTCCCCTGCCAGAATTTGTTTCTCTGCTGCCAGACACCTCAGCAATTAGCACAGCCCCATCCTTCCTCTGTGAACTTTCAGGATGCTTCCTGCAGAGGCAGGTTCAGACCACCCTCTCTGAGTTTTGACTTTTTCTGTGAGCTGGTGTAATCATTCCCTATCCTCTCACTGTGTTCTCTGTTAGGAAAAGGTATGGATGCTGAACCAGGGGGCCACATTCAGGAGGGAAGGGAGCTGCCTGAACATCACTGCAGACAGGCTGCAGCACATGAGGAGGCCAGGCATATGTGCTTCTCACAGAGTGGCAATTAGCTTCTGTCTCCTTATGGCCCCTTGGTGGTGTCTGTCCAAGGGTGCTCTATCCCACAGCCCTGGCCATACCTTTTGGTTCCTCATTCCTGCAGGGGCTCATCCAGGGAAGCAGGTCCCTACAGTCCTCTCTAGGGGCAGTGTCACCAGGCAAGCTAAGAACCAAAATAGCTGGGCTCAGATCTCACCAGCTTACCAGTGGTGTAAGTCCTCAGTTGTGGCCAGCCAGATGCTCAGAGCTGTAGCCACGATGGGTTTTGGCAGGGCAGGGTGAGGCAGCTGTGTGTTGCACAGACACAGGTCTGTGTTTCTACTCCTGGGAGCTGCGTGCAGAGAACAAGCACGGGAAAGTCCTTTGTGGCCAGCTAAAATGGCAAAATGCTGTCTCAGCAGGGGAAGCATCTTAGGTTTCAGTGGGAAGTCCAAGAGGGATCTGAGGTGATGCAGTGCCTGAACAGCACAGAGCTTGTGTCTGTCCCAAACCCTACAGCAGACCTGGTGCCTGCCAAGCCATCAGGACCAGCTAGAAGGAGAGTTCTACTTCTGAAGCCTTACTCCTGGGAGCCCTGCAGCCCTTGTGAGTAAGCTAGTAAGACAGTGTTGTTGCTTGGGATCTTCACCCCACACTCAAAATAGCCCCTTTTCACAGAACCTTTGTTTAAACCTGCATCTTCTGTCTTCTCTTAAGTGAAAACACCATGTAAGAAGGCTTATTTCAATAATTTAAGTGCTTTTCTTCACACAATGTCATTGTGGAGCGTTGTCCCTGAACACGGTTGTGTGCAGCACTAAATTATGCCCTATCTCAATTTCTTCCATTTGGACAAAAGGATTTGAAAGATGAAAACAGCACTTATGAGGAAGCAAAGCCCTGCCAGCATTAGGTTTTAGTACCAGGTTGGATTTACCCATGGTCTGTTCTGAGGCTTTACTAGGGGGTAGGACTGAAATTCCCTGCACTGCTTTCTGGAGCTCCTGGGGAAGCAGTAGCCCTTGTGTGGAAAGAAAATAGCTTGTCATTTTGATATGAGCTGACCGACTGCCTGCCTTGCGCTGTCTGCTTTTCTTTTTCCAGAAGTGCTGAACATGTACAATTCTCACTGACTCCTTTGTGAGCAAGCTGTGGTTTTGACGGGTTAGTTGCACAGTTTGGGGGATTTTTATCACATTTAATGTCATCTGAAAAATTGCAGAATAAAATATAGTTCAGCCTTGGCTCTGCCTGCGTATTGGCATTTTTACCATGATCCCAGTGTGCTAGATGAACAGTGTCACAATGTCTTTCCTTGGAAGAAAGAACTCATTGGGTGTAACTCTGATGAAAAACTAGATCGATCTGCCCCTTTAGTTTGTGTTTGCTCTGAAGTTTTTGACTTGTCCTGAATACAGGATTCAGAACAAAGCCTGAGAGACTGAAAACCTGTATGGACTGTGAATAGGCTTGTGTGAGCCCTGCCAAGTGATAAGGCAGCTCCCCCTGGCTCTAAGAACTGAACTTTTCTCCCCAGTGATATTTGGATGTGATGGGAAGGTGCTGCTTCTGTGAAGATGCTCAGTCCTGCAGCTTCTTGTTCAGTGGAGGCTCTCAGAAAGCTATGTTTTTCTTTTCCCTGGTGGGATGGGTGTCGAGGCAACTCAACAACTTGCTCAAGAAAATATCATTGCCATTCAGCACATCACTTATCAAATGTTTAAGTAAAAGATGTCAGGTCCACTGCAGGATAGCAGGTATCAGGATTTCCCATATCTCAGCTTGGATTCTGGCTCTACAAACACAAACTGGTTTCCCAAAGCTTCTTCTTGCTGTGTATTTGCCTCAGGCTTAGATGGGTCACCAGGGCTTTGAATTGCAAAAATCAGATCGGATGCTCCTATCTTTGTTTTCAATAACAGAGACAAACTTTGCCCTTTGCTGTGCCTGCAGGGCAGCAAGTAATGAATGTTTATGGCAATATTGGTTTGCTCTGATAGCAACCTGCCTGACCTTGCTGGAGAGAATCCCTTCTGCCCTTGCCTGACAGAAGTGAGTCTCCATCTCCGTGGCTGCAAGTCATCTGCCTTCAAAGCCTTCTGCAGCAGAGGTGGTGCAGAGGTGAAACTCTTCCCTGCTTCCTGCACCAAGGTAGGGAGACACAGCTCTGGAAGGCTTGCTAGCTGTTCACATGGTGTTAGGAGAATAGGTTTGGCAGCCTACAGATCATCAGCCACGCAAAACTACCTTAAACCAGGTAAGTTTCCCCACACAGTTGCAAAGATGTTGGGCTCTACACCACTGTAACTGTGCTGCTAGCCAAGCTGCCTGCTTACAGATGTGCTCCTAGCTGCTGCCTGTCTTGTTGCTCCATGTATTGCTCACTTTAATGCTGCCTATCT